TGAATTAGTTACTGTATATACCAAGACTAAAAATACAATATTGGTTCCACTACTCATTTGGTGCATTTTAATGCGTCATAGTATGTAATCCAATCTTAAACATTTAATCTTACCTATGTTTACATCCAAACTCTTAAAATGCATCAGCTTTAACCTAACAGAGATATAAATACATCTCTTTACAAAAAATAGTAAGTACTGTATAGGATAAATCAACCTCTTTTTGCATGAAATACATAGTATTGTTTTTAATTGATATACAGTAGTACCTCACCTTGAAATATTGTATAACAAACTCAAACAAGCACCATATGAGCCTGCAAACCAAGGAATAAATCTTAACAGCCCTATGCAAAGAATTTAGAAAATGCAAAAAGTATTATTCCAAAGAAAAAGTAAAAGTAATATTTTATTGATATTTGTTAATAGTACAAAGTAAACTATTTTGTATTAAAGTGTGTATTGAAGAAATCACTGGTAAAGTGTGTTGCATATATTCTTAAATTAATAGTTATTGAATAGCTTATTTTGCATGATACTTCTTAAGAGAACATAGATTTTTTTTCTTATCGTGCTTAATTATGGTATTCGATTCTGGTTCTTAAGTGCATTCAGAAAATGAAAATGAAAGGAACATACTTTGGTTTTGGATTCAAGTCTCTTAGTATTGAATTTGATCTGAATTAAGATATGTGTTTAATCTAATTATCAAATTATATCATGTGTTGTTGTCTTTTGTTTGTATCAGGGGGTACTGTGTATGGGAAATTGCTTAAAAGTTGTACCTAAACTGTGGGCCTCCGGACAGCTCAGCCAGTGGAGGTACTGAGCTCTGAACACAAGTTAAACTCTGTGGCCCAGGTGTTGCGAAGGTGTTGTGTCAATTCAAATGGGTCATGCCACTGACTGCACAACTAATAGAGCTCCACTGGGGCAGGTTTGGGATTAGTCAGACAGGGCTATCTCTGTTCTTGGTGAAACAGTGCGTTTTCAATGTCACTTAGGGATGTGGCACTCCTCCAGTCAGTGCAAATCATCCTGTAAACTGGTCTAGAGCTCTCAGTGTGTCAAAGGATGAATTCCTAAATGGGTGGGCAGGCTGGAGGAGTACAAGAGGCTCAGTGCTGTGAACCATGACGTTATGGACAACTTAGTAATTTAGTATCTAAAAAGCACATCTAAAACCCAACTGCAGTTGTAAGATATTTTGTGAAAGACTACAGCATTCTCAAACGACAGCATGTGATAACGCAAGACCTGCTTTATTAAGTTTTATTGAATTAAAGGCACAAAAAACTGGAGGTTCCAGGTTAAAAGTGGTTGCTCTGCTTATGTTTGGTCTGTTTCTCAAGGTGATTGTTGGGGATATTTTTTGTTAGGCCAGCTTTTGTTTTTAGTGTACATCAAAAACATTTGATTTAAAGTAACTCCTTACATTCCCTACAGTTCTGTTAGCATTTCTAGCCTTATGGTAATAGCACTGAAAAAGGTAAGGTGTTAGTGTTTTAAAAAGATGGTTGTTACCATCCTGTTCTGGATAACGAGAAGTGATAATTAATTTCACTTTCTCCCTCTTTCCTCATTCTGTCTGTACATCATTTCATTCTCTTCATAATCAGTTTTAAAAAAACATTTTGTATTGTTGCGTACAGTATGGTAGACTCAAAATAGTGTGCATGTTTCTTTGTCTCCTCGGTATTTATCCTCCGCTGATCTGTTTGTGTTCCTGTGTCCCCCAGTTCCAGCTTCAGATGTTTGACATAGTTTGCAGTACATCGTGGGCCAGCAGGGATAAGTGCTGTGAGCTCCCAGGATTGGTAAGTGGGAACAATGTCTGCAGAGATCTGCAGCTCAGTGGGAGGTTCCTTCACAAGAACATCCTGCTAGTTTCATCAGACGGTATTACAAGAATAATTTATGCAGTGAAAGTCAATGGGGGTTGAATTTAGAAACTCGCGTGAGAGTAAACATACAGTAATCTCAAATAGACACACATTTTCCTTTACTTCACTATACTGTACATGTTATCACTAATGGTGCCATTTTTCTTTTTAAATGTATTGTGATCTTATGTGGCATTCTGTATGTTAACTTTTACTTAAAAAATAGTTCTAATCATTATACAATGCTATCCCAGTGTACTGTGACCTGTTTATTGTTTGAATCCTTTTTGATATAGTAAGGTTGTGGTTCACATTTCAAACATAAAACAGTTCTATTCAAATGTTCCCAAATAAACAGTATGGGGCACGTCAATAAATTCTTTCTATACTGGAACTCGCCAGGTTAGACACTGGTTCAAGTGGGAAGCAACACCAGTTTGTGTTGGCTCCAAAGGAAGGTTTATGCTGGAAAGTGGAAAGGTTTCAGAAATAAATGTTGGATGAATTGAGAAAAGGTAAAATTCAAGCTGCGTTTTCAAATGAACATACTGCAGAGACTACTGTACATTGTATGAGTTGCTTGAACACAAACTAAAACATTTTCAAGATTAACTCCAGAACAGGCTGTTTGAAGAACAAAAAGTGCCGTATCAAAGAATCTCTTTTATTTGCTTCATGACTATAAGAATAGCGAATCCCACTGTGTTATAATATTATGAGCACAGGCAGAGAAATTTAAGAAGAAGAATGTAAGAAACGTTATGAGGAGGTCATTTGGCCAATATAACCATATTGGTTTAAGCACTGTGAAGATCAACACAATCTTAAAGCAAGCATGGGGTAGCTGTCAGTCTTGAAGAGCAGCCATTACAAGGGTTTCTGTCTGTGGAAAAATCAAATCATGAAGATTAAGATATTTTTAAAGCACTGTTTTCTTGTAAATGGGAAAAATGCCTCACAATCCATAGTTCTTACATGTAAGGACTGAATTTCAAGAAGTGAGTAAAGTTACTGTAAGCTTAAGCCTTGTTGCCTTTTTTGAACATTTTACTACATAAACATTTAACTACATAAAATTCTTACCATCTAATCTAAAATATTATGTCAATTTTCTTATATCAAACCTGTTTTACTATCTGAAATATAAGTGCTTAGCAATTTGAAATGTGTACTTTATAGTAATATACAGTACTGTAGTAGCTGAAATGCATAAAGACTGGCAAATTATGTATTTTCAGAAAATGATACCATTCTACCCCCTTCCCTTTTCCTAGAGATGTGCGATTTGAGGCATTTTTAATTTTTAGGAGGAATACAGGAAAATAATGTGTATAGTTTATTATGTTGCATTTTAAATGGAGAAGCTCTGCAGCCTTCTGTCAGATCAAAAATGCAGTTGGTGGGTTTTAATGAAAGGTAAACAGAGGAGCAAGCCTATGAATTTTAATAGAATCTCAAAGCACACACACTGATTATTTTTTTTACATCTTTGTACTCAGATATTTTTAACTTTAAACTATAACATACAGGCCTTATGAGTCCCCTCTTCTGACATTTTATCTGAACGTAAAATCCCCCAAATGTGACTATATTCCAAAAAGTGTACCATACATATTACAGTTTAATAATAATAATAATAATAATAATAATGATGGGTGTCTGGTCATGATTCTGGCTGCCAAATTCTGAACATATTTTTATTCCGTTTATTCAGTGTGTCATTCAGTATAGTTTCTAAATGTAGGTTATTTATAGATTTCAATGTAAAACAGTTGGAATGGTGTTTCCTACATGTATAACACATGGTTTATTAATTTGGCATTAAGACTTTCATTACATGACAGAACACAATGCAGTCCACCCAATAGATCCTAGCTCCTATATTATAATGGGGTAACACTGCATTAAGGTTATTGCATGGTAATGATCATGGTCTTGCAGTATACACTGTATACTTTTAGGTAGTTTTCATAATGTACAGTACAAATTTATAAATGTGAAAGTATGATGAATTATATTGTTCTGGGTGGCAGTGATATATGCTATATTAATACTGGCAGACAAATGCAATAACAGTATAAACAACCTTAAGCATGCAAAACATATATGTAGAGTACAGATTATATACAAGAAGTTCTCTGTAGAAACCGGTAAATTTTTGTATTTTTACGAGGGTTTTGTATTTTTAATCCTGAGTAATATTTTCTCAAGCTTTTTTTTGGAAAATGTGCCAATCACGACTTCCCAAAAGTGATGGAATTTGCGGAACATTTCCGGAACACAGTTGGAACATTTGATCTCTTATTTACTCCGTGTCATTGTGTGTGGTTTTTATCATCATCAACTAAACCAACTGGTGGAAAGCGGAGAGCACGGAGAAGGCAGATTCACTCATGTGTGTCTGTGTGATTTGTGTGTTGCAGAGAGTGGAAGAGAACTGCCCAGCCATGCCACATGCGTGTACCTGCTCTCAGGACAGCAAAGGACCGCCTGGACCCCCGGGAACATCTGTAAGGAGCTTCATACCCTCTGTGTTCGAGCGAGTGAGGCATGAATACACACTGCGAGAGCCTCAGAAATCCAGCTAGACCGTACTTTTGGTGTGACTGTTATTATTGTTGGATCATACATAGGTCTCTTCCATTGTTATTACTGGATATAGGCATCCTTTTCACTTCTCTTTGAGCTCCTTCTGGCCTTGTATTGTTTTTTTAACAAGTGGAAGAAGGAAGAGGGGAACAGGCGGGGATGAACCAGATCAGGGAATTTAGAAATGTCACATTAGTGCAGAGTATCGATTCCATCTGGAATACAGTGTCTGTTTTTTTAAGCCGATGGGGGAAACGTTTTAGAATACTGAACACCTGATGGCAAGAAAGGTGAATATGAATTGAAATAATTAAGCGTGATCTGTTTTATAATATAGCTTCATTTCTTACATATGTTCACACATGATTAGTTCCGAGCTGAGTTATTTTGAAGTTGTAAACAGATTTTGCCACATTCCCCTTATTGTTTTTGTAATAATATCCCTACACTCATGAGGTGTTAGAGCACTTGTACTTTCAGTACTTTCTTTTACTCTCCATTCATCCATCCATTTTCCAACTTCTACTTCTGACTCGGGGTAAGGCTGCTAGAGCCAGGCAGTGGGTGCAAGGGGGATACACCCTGGATGGGACGTCAGTCACAGACACAGACATGCACACACTCACACCAGGGCCACTTTCACCAAAGCCAATTAACCTATAAGAGTGTCTTTGGACTGTGGAAGGAAACTGGAGGACCCAGAGGAAATCCAACATGGGATAAATATAAATATTCGACATGCGTAGCAGCCCAGGTCTGGGATTGAACCCAGGACCCCAGCACTGCAAAGCAGAGCAGCATGTCTAACCACTATGTGATCGTGCTTCCCTGCCAGTACTCTTAATATACAGCTAATATAAGATCTATAGCAAAAGTTTATATATTTGTAAATACAAATTACAAGGTCTGTTTTATATCACAGAGTAAATATACCCTTGTTATTCTCTTTCTAAAGACCACTGCTGTTTTAACAACTCTATCTATTCAGTGCTCTATAACCCATTAGCCTAATTGATTTGTTATTTATTGATTTTTGCTACATGCTGAAACTTTATGATTACTGACTTGAAAGTTTTGAAGCCCTCTGGGTGTAATTAATGTGGCTGCACAGAACTAACACAACAGGAAGAAAGACAATTATTCTAAAGCGCTTGCAGGAGTCATTGTAGTAACTTGCAGAGCTTAGTGCCTGGAGTTATAGTGCTGCTGACTACTTTATTGTTAAAACGACATCTGGGGTAAGGGTTGGCAAAATTGCCCTGTGTGGCTGAAGACCTAATGAAACAGATTGTGTGAGTTCATGAAAGAACTGGGACCTCATTACTGTTGCTGTTCTTAAAGTTGTGTCTTCTGCCATCTGCAGAGTGTCCTCATGTCATTGGAAAAAGGGAAAATACTGTCCTATGATGGCTGTCATTTAAGGTCATTTCACCCAGGCTCTTTCTTCAATGCTGTTATAACTTCTTTAATCCTTGGATGAATGGGGGAAAGTATCTTTATATAAATCCAGAACCTGGATATGCGGGCTAATTGGAAGTGTTCTTAGTGTTTCTCACTATGTGTGTCGGAATTACAGGGTGGTCCTGGTATCAGAGGCCCAAGAGGAGAACGTGGAGAACCAGGCTTAGTGGTAAAGTATATTCTGCAAGATATAATTTACACACATGAAATTCAAAACTGAAAAAGGCTGTAAAATATTTCCATATTAGTATGGGACCTTAAGGGATCATTATTTTATTCATTTCTAACATGACATTTTAACTATTTTGTTTTTTTACTGTATATACTGTATGCAGTAGCAGAAAATTATTTGAGCTGTTCAAGAAATTGAGAAGGTAACTCAGCAAATTATTTCTGACATTATTGTACTCCTGAAAGATGTACATGGGAGATTCAGGGTTATACTGACCTAAATTATTATAGTACATAAATGTAATGTAAAATAACACATATTAAAGTGAGTTCACACTTTAACAAAATCCTCACAATAGGCAATCATCATATTTCCTATGAAACCCATTCTCTGCTAATATTTGACAATTACCTGTTTGAAACAGCTGTTACTGTACATTATTTTCATCATCTGAGATGGTGATGTCCCTAAGGGTTGTCCCCCTTTGGACTAACAGACATCCAAGAAGTTTTTTACAATTTGGGAAAGAGTCATAGTCATAGGAACAACCAGGTATGTTCTCATTGTTCCATGATTGACCGTCTGGAATGACTCCGGGATTAAGGATTATAATAATAATAATTGCTTACATTTATATAGCACTTTTCTGGACACTCCACTCAAAGCACTTTACAGGTAATGGGGACTCCCCTCCACCACCACCACCAATGTGCAGCATCCACCTGGCAGCCATAGTGCACCAGAACACTCACCACACATCAGCTATCAGTGGGGAGGAGAGCAGAGTAATGAAGCCAATTCATAGATGGGGATTATTAGGCCATGATTGGTAAGGGCCAATGGGAAATTTGGCCAGGACGAGAAATGCCCTGGGATTTTTAATGACCACAGAGAGTCAGGACCTCGGTTTTACATCTCATCCAAAGGGAGGTTCCTGTTTACAGTATAGTGTCCCTGTCACTATACTGGGGCATTAGGACCCACACAGACTGCAGAGTGAGCGCCCCCTGCTGGCCCCACTAACACCTCTTCCAGCAGCAACCTTAATTTCCCAGGAGGTCTCCCATCCAGGTACTTAACTGGCTCACAGCTGCTTAGCTTCATTGCTATTTGTGAGTTACAGGGTGATATGGCTGCTGGATTAAGGCAGTCATGTCCATAGTATGGAAACTCATTAAAAAATAAAGCATTCTTCTATGATTTCTGTATACTGCCCATAATACTTGTTTTTATAACTGAAACTTACAGTGGCTGGAAAAAGAGGCTGTGACTGAATGGGCAGAATGTAGTAAACTCTTTAATGAACCAGAGGGTCTGTCAATGGCAATTAAAAGCCCTCTGAGCACTTTGTTACAAAGAGTGAACTGCCCCTTTTTATAGCATGTAATAGCGTTTAAACTGGTAAACGGAACTCCTTGTTTATGAAGTAGACCCTCCTTGGAACATGCTGAAGACTTACTTTTCTAGGCGATTTTCTACCGATTTGCAGGGTATCCTAATTTAACCTTTTCTCTGTGACAGGGACCACAAGGGCCTGCAGGAGACATTGGATTGCCAGGACCCCAGGGGCCCCCAGGGCCTCAGGGACCAAGTGGACTTTCCATTCAGGGGCCCCCGGTAAGACAGCTGTTTCCATCAGACAGGCCAGAACTGGCAATAAGTAAGGAAGGAAGGCCAGCCTACAGTTAGGGTTACAAGAGCCTTCCAATTTTGACTCTACTTCTGCTTCAGCTTCCATTTGAAATGTCATTATTGAGAATGTTTACCAAATCAAATGGGTTTTCTTAACACTTTTATTAAGACCCAGTTTTGGAATCACAATTCCTGAGGTGTGCAATAAAATGTACTTTTGGTGTTATGTCACAACGTTTAGACTGAAATAACATTCACTTTGTTAATGTAAAGTCTTAAGTGGAAATAGTTGCCAGCTGGGAAACTTATTTTATTAATTACTCTAGAGATGCTGGATAATGTTAAAGAATTAGAATCTGTCCACTGAGTTCTTTACTTGTAAGTGTTTTAAGCAACAGCAAAAAATGTGTGAAACCAGGATATACTTAATTTCGTTTTGAACCTTTGAAGCAGAAATTATACCATGCATTTGTTTTTACCAGCTTTTTTCTCCAGTACGCAAAAATAAAAAAATATATTTTTGATTGTGGTACAGAGGTGACCCTGAATTAGAAATTTCTTATTGAATTTTTAGATACCGTATGCTTGTGTGTTTTTGATTGTGAGGGTGATGTGTGCCTGACTATTTTTCAGGGTTCTCCTGGAGAGAAAGGGGAGAAGGGGGAAAATGGCCCACCAGGAACACAGGTAATGACACATTTCTAGAATTCACATCAAATTACATATTTTCAACATGTGAAGTGCACATTTTCAACAAATTTAAACGCAGTACCATTTCACCAATTCACATATTACCTGAAGAGTAGAATACTTCAGATATTATATTGTTTAATGCTTAGTTTTATACCAGTGCTTAACACTGAACAAGATATTGGGATGATAATTTTAAAGGTGTCATTTGTCACTCCCAACATCATAACCTCACGCTGAGTGCAAATTCTCTACATTGGCAGGGGGTGAAAGCTGTTATAGCACAACAGTGTACTTATGTATTTCCAACTGCTATTAGATGTTTACATACAAGTAGTTGTTTTTTTCAATACTCACATTTTAAAAAGAAATTAGGATTTAATACAGTGCCATCCTGAAGTTTTTTCTTCTGTCTATTTGTTTCTATGTATGAAATTGCACTGACACTTTTTTGAAGGTTTCATGTCTCAAGAAGTCCTTCCCTGGCAATTATATATAGCAGGTAAAAATAAAACGTTAGGAATTTAATTTTAAGTGTGAAAAATGAGTTCTCAGTTCTAACAGCTGAAAGCAAATATTTTTTGAAGGCCAAGAGACATGTTGCCTATGACCTTTAATGAGGGACAGCTTCTGTTGTTACACTGTGATAATTGTTTTTCTCACATTATTAACCTGTAGGTTTTACTTTTATTATTTTTTTATGTACAAAATGATTTGTAAGAAGCTCTTGATAAGAGATTATCTTAGAAAATTAAGAAAATAGTGATATGAACATTTATTTTTTAAATCAAAGTTTAACAGTGATATCACATCAATCTTGTATCCTAAGAAAATGATGTGAGTCATTGTAACATATTGTAACTGAGTTTATAAATTGACAAATGTTATGCAGAACTGTCCATTTTTACAACCTTTAGTGTGCTTTTCTTTTCTTTGCTTTTCTTTCCAGTAAAAATCTATCTGACATTTCTAAATGTTTAAGCTCCTCTATTCACAAAGTTCTTTCAGAAAAAAAACAACTGTAATTGGAAATGTATAGTCAAGATTGACTGAAGAATTATTAAAATGGGATAAGATAAGTTGTTATTTGCGAATTCCTTCTTAAGAGGTGCATTGTGTTCTGCCTGACAGTTTTAATCTGTATTTCATAGAGAGATACATATTCACTCACATGTGTCTTTCCTGTTTCCTGTTGGTAGCTAGAAGCAAACTGATCCGAGTTTCTCAAACAGCTGTTTTTTGAAAGAAGCCTGGGTATTCGCTTTAAGAAAATGTCTGGGTTGGCTTGTTTTAAAAGTACTTCCTTCTAGTTTCTCTGGTTGGAGTTCCACTGCTCATTCTCAAGAAGTCCGAGGGGGTGTCTTTTGTGAATTTTTTCAAAGACTTCAAATACTTCAATACCTTACTGATTGAATTGCAGGAATCTTTGGGCAGAAGCAGTAACAAATTCAGAGATACATTTTGTTATTTTGACGTATTGTAGCAAACATTTATTTCTAATATGGAGTTGATCAAAATATTTGGACTATTTTACGCACAGTAGTGTAATACAGTATGTTACATCCGTCTTTCACTGTTTTTTCAATGCATTAACTCCAGTAAAGAACATCTGCGTAAGGTACAGTATATTTTATGAATGGCATACATGTATTATGTAATTTTGAAAAAACTCAACAGAGTGCTGTCAGTGTGTTTTCTAATACACCTGTCCTATAAACTTAAAGCAGCATTACCAGGAAATTATGGCCACATGAACTCTTGGTCTTAATTGAATTAAATGCAACCAAAAAACATGTGGGTATGAACAATATTTTATGCTCTATTCAAACCCCCGTTTTACAGGCCAGAGGTACATACAGTGGTGACGGGAGGGTCACATTTATCTCATTCCAGTGAAGATGTGGCAGAGGCTGTCCCTGGATGCTACAGTGGAGAAATAGTATACAGTACCTTACAGTGTTGTCTGGTACCGATTTAAGAAATTAACTTCTTGTTTTAAACGTTCCTCTTTCTCAATCTTATCTTTCAGGGGGTCCCCGGATCAACTGGGTCTCCAGGAAGAGATGGCATACAGGGTCAGAGGGTAAGATTTCGCTACACCCTGCAAATACAGTACATGTCACACAAACTCAAGAGGCGATTATGATTTCTCTAGGTTCAAGAGCCAAGGCAGTGCTAAGGAAATTGACAGGACAGGCACACATTTGTCCCTAAGTCAAGATATCAGCACAGTATAGATTTGTTTTGTTCATTATTTATTCATTTTGAATAGAAAATAGCTTTTGGTAGGTGAATCTAGATGATTCATGCTTGCTTGCTAAAGAGAATTCCCCTGGAAATAATTTGAAACCTTAGGTGTTTTGGAACTAAACTTTTCTTGTTAAGAAAGAAACATTTTAAGAATATTTTACCTTTCAAAAAGTGTTCTACAAATACATTTTGAAATGAAATTTGAAATTAACCCAATGAGAGTTAAAAAAGAATAATAATCTCTAAGAAAATGGGGACAAACACTTTAAATGGTTCCTATTTCCCCTCAGATTAACAAAAAATTTAACCTTAATAGTCACAATAATTACACAGTTTAGTTTTCTCCATGTCTGTTTTGAATTAAATAATTTGGAATACAGTTGTACTTTACAAAAAGCAACATAAAAGCACTGACGATCATGTGCATTTGAGCACAGTAATAGAACAGTACTTGAACAGATGCCTTATTCCTTGAGTATACAGTACTTTGAAAAAGGTTGTGGCTTGAGAGTTTCCTAAAGAGATCAGTCTTTTTCCTGATTTTTTTCTCTCTGACTTGTAATGCTCGTTATTCCCCTGTGTTTAATCTTCACTGAAGAGCTGCTTTCTATAGGAGCATGCTACAACATGTTTCATTACTACAGTGTTATCTTATCTCAGCTTTCAATATTTATTTGATATAATAATAATAATAGAAAATGTGCTAGCATTAGGATTTCTAACACCATTGGTGTCATATGTGAAGACCTCAATATTAACCCAATAATGTACAGTTGTATTAAGCTACATCAATTTATTTGATCTTATATCTGCCTGTATTTTGTCCTAGAATGTTCTATGACTGCATGTTTCCAGTTATTTAAAATACAGCCAGTGCGAAGTGTACTACGTGGTCTTTGGTAGAGTAAGTTTAGATGGAAAAGGCTCTCCATTCTTCCTGTTCTTTCAGTGACATCAGTGTTGCCATTCTGAAGGTAACCTTGATTTAGGCACACATTGTTCTAAACCCTCTCTGCCCTTAAAGAGCTGTAGGAACATAAAAGAACATATTTTTGATAACGGCAACATTGATTAGAACAAAGAGAGTAACAGTGCTAATGCATAATTAAATGAATCGTAGAGCTGGTATAACAGTAAGCTTTTAGTCTCCCTGTACTCTTTTTCTTTTCACATCAGTGCTGTTGAAGAATTTCTAGAAATTCATAATGAAAAGGCATCATCTGAAATAACCGATCATTGTTAATTATGGGTGTGGAATTGCCTTGGGAGGCATCCAGACTTGAGTAAGAATAAACCAGCTGCCTTATACACTCGAAAAGGTCTTTTTGTTCATTAAATGACTATTAATGTAAATATAATTCTATTGCCTTTATGAACCAAGGTGAACTGTCCTCAGGCTTTTTATTTTTAAAACTTGCTCAGGTTTAAATTTACTTTCGGTTCTGACATTTCACTGCATTGTTCAAATTCTCAGCAGATGTTAAAACTGTATATTAAAATAACAGAAGGGTATATTGAGTGATTATTGTAATGTTAGTATTGTATTAATTGATTATTGTAATTTTTGTTGTTCTTAACCATCCACTTTCTGACTGCTTTGACCGATTCACAATCGCAGGGAAGCCAGAGCTCCGTACACTCTGGACAGGACGCCTGTCCATTGCAGGACACACACAGACATAAACATACACACTCACACTCATGTTCACATCAGGGCCAGTTTTCCCAGAACCTAATTACAATAACCAACCAGTATGTCTTTGGAATGTGGGAGGAAACCAGAGCACCCTGAGGAAACCCACACAAACATGAGGAGAATGTACAAACTTCAGATTGCACCCCAGGCCTGGAATTTGGTATTACAGTATGTTATATCATGTCATTTGCCAAAGCTCTTTATATCATACGTAGCTGGAGCCTAGGCATTCGGACCCACACAGACCACAGGGTGGGTGCCCCCTGCTGGTCCCATTTATACCTCTTCCAGCAGCAACCATAGCTTCCCAGGAGGTCTTCAATCCAGGTACTGACCAGGCTCAACCCTGCTTAGCTTCAGTGGGTAGCCAGTTGAGAGCTGCAGGTTGATATAGCTGCTGGTTGTATTTGGTATTATATTATGATTAATTATTTTTATAATTGATTTTTATATTATTTTCTTTACTAGAATTTTGCAATGCTATTGTACAACAGCTTGGATCTAGAGAGTGCCGTTATTGGCATCTAAGCAGCCTGAAAGAATGTTTTGGCCAGTGTGTTGTGCAGTAAACTACAGACCTGGCTGACAACCAAACAGAATGCGGAAGAATACAATGCATGCATAACAATAACCTGAATTTTAGCAAAACAAATTCTTGTGCTAAATTATGTTTGAATGACAGTTGAAACCAGAAAAAAGCACCTGAAAAGGGCTCCACAGCCGAAACGTGTTTTCTTTCTTCTCTTTTCAAACCTATTACTTGTATCTTTTATGTAAAGTATATTGAAGATGGGATTAGCAAAAAAGGGAAAATGAAAGTCTCAGTGTTATCTTTTGGTCTCCATTTTAAATATGGTCAAGTTAGGCTCTGCAACTGCTTATCTGCTACCAACCTCATTTTTAAAGAGAAGAGTCAGATTAGACTGGGAGCTTGTGCCTCTTTCCAACTGTGGCCATGTGTTTGAATACAAGCTGCCATCAAAATCTGGCAGAGAAGAGTCCCCGTGGAGATAGTCATTGTGTTGTCCAGCAATGTCTTTATGCGCTTGGCCCAGTTATAACAGGACTGTATGGTGTATGTACTGCATGAGTCAGGCCAGCCTTAAGGTGCTTCTTATTTTGAACAGTGTAAGTAATGTTATCTGGAACAGTTGCAATTCACAGTAGAGTATCACAACTATGAATCCAGGTATAATTCAATAGTATTATGATTTTCCGAGGAACTGTCATTTGTAAACTTCTTTGATATAGGAAGTTGCAATTTAATTGTATCCTTCATTTTAATGTAATCACATTTTACTTTGTGTGCTGTTTTGAAAGTTTTTAATTTTTCTCTTTGAACTACCTGGGAAATTACCATCTCCAACAGACGGTTTTAATTCTGCTAAGTAGTGTGGTAGGGAATAGTATTTATTCAAATAACAGTCTATTTTTGCAACCAGTGCCATTGTAAATGGGTGCTCAAGCAGTTACAGGTACTGAAAGGCCACACCCTATCGAGTTACTTGAATAGGATTTTTGTCTGCGGTTGAATACTAAAGGGAGTGTGAAAGAGCTGAAGATCTTTACTTTGACAATAAAGTCAAAACAAAACATTTCATCCTAATCAGACAGCTTTACCCTGAGGTTTCATCTTATCTTTATGCCATGCCATTAAAATTAATATATTTGACTTTAAACTGAAGGGCTAGGAGGCCTTCTGGAATGTTACAGAGCTAACCCGAGAGCTAGTGGAAGCTCAAATTAAACTTCCTCTAGGTCCGTCGAGTAGTGTGCCTTCAACAGATCTCATTATGCTAACTGAGTAGAAAACAGTATGAACCACGGACCTTTCTCTTTTTTTTCTTTCACTGGTTCCTGTGCAAAGGTTCCTGGTGTGATGATGTAGAATAGAAAAAATAGATATTTGCAATTGGTGCAGCATTATCTCTGCTTTTCAGTACAATCTCAGCTGCTTCAGAAGGCAAATACAGTATCCACAGAACTATAGAGTCAGGTTAAATAAGTCACAAAATTGTAACCTTTCTGTATAAATGTTAAATAAATGTTATGAAAAGCACGTCCTTATGGAAGCTTATGGAATCAATGAGAGATGTTAAGCTTGCTATATTTAATTTAGTATGCTCTATTCTCATTGTTATGAAGTCTAAATGGCCAGTGGGTCCACTAATAAAAACATCAAAGTCTTCAGTGCTGCTGTCAGTCTCTTAGCTACTATACAGGTGTGCCCACATAGTAATTACATTCTACTGATCAAAGCTGCAGTGGGCTGTGTGAGGTTGTTTTTCTGTATCAGGTAAATAAATAGAGCACGTCCACCAAAAACTAAGCATATAATGAGTTATCTGAACTGAAATATCCTTAAAGTTAACATTTGTTTATCAAACTACTTCCTATATTTAATGTTGTTTTTTTCCATTCAATTCAGTTTGCATGGGAGGCACAGCAGGTCTGGTATTCCCTTTAGTGAAGCTGCCAGCTGATGTGAGCTGTACCTTTTCCACACCCCACATCTGTGTTCATGGCTTCTTATCCGTTTTCCTAATTTGCACACTCGTAAATAACCAACCTTTTATTCAACCCAGAACATGGGGCTCGAACATTCTTAAAAGATAAAGTTTTAAGAAATGCTCTACGTTAAACTTTGGCAACACAAATAATTGTGTCAATGCCAGCATTTAAAGCTCAGCCAAAGAAATAGTCTCATTGACCAGCATGGGAGTGTTTGCAGTGCTGTTTTCTTGTACTGCTCCTGTCTTCATGCTCATCAGATTTTGCTTCTTATGCTCCTGTTGAATATTTTGTTTTGTCCCTTTGTCACCTTACAATTGCATATTAGTGGACAGCATGTCAGTATTTTTCTTATGGACATTCATGTTGCACATTTGTCCGGAAATCAACAGTACTCAACCACAGTACTGTATTTTTCTTTGTGATTCCCACTTTTGCTGAAAACCTCCTATATTTCCATTGCTGCCCTTCAGGGAATGCCAGGTAAAGATGGACCCCAGGGACAGCAGGGCCCTCCAGGACCAATCGTGAGTATCCATTCTTTGTTTGCAGTAGAAAGATGAGGAAAGCCTGAGCAGGGAATTCTGGTCATGTGTGAGAGCTGTCAGTATTTGCGTCTTTGGGAATTTTAACAAGAAGCAGCTCTTTTCAGTCTGTTTCATATTCCAATATTACTTGTCCATCCGAATATTGAGACTTATATTAGATTGTAGTCTATGTTCTGGCTTGTTAATCGGAGGAGATTTAGTTGGTAAGTTGCAAACTGTAGTTGGTAAGTTTAATTTTAGTCTTTCTTCAGTGATCAGCACATATTGACCGTATGGAAAGCTTTAAGAAGCACGAGTTACCTTTCTGAATGTGAAAGGCTGAAATGAAAAAGACTCTCTCGGTTTTAAATAAATAACAGAAAATGGAGAGGAGTTCAAACGATGAAATGCAAATAATACAACAAACTCCCTCTTATGTGGAAGAAATGGGGGAGGGGGGATTTCATCTCTAGTTTGAATAGATGAGATTGAAGCAAACTGATACGCAGTCGGTTAAAGCACAATGACTGGGACTTAACCACACTGATAAAACCCATTCCTTCTGAAATTAGTTATCCTGGCACAAGGGACTCTGAAGTCTGGAACTGGAATGCTCAGCTGTGTAGATGCCTCAGGGGCTTTAAACTTTAACATTTCTGTTGTGACTGCAAATCCACTCCAGACCTCCTTCCAGCCTGACGATTCCCATGCTGTTCAGAACACAGGATCACCTCCTGCTTGAACACAAAAGTGTACTGTGATCGCTTGTTCATTTAGCCACGGACCAATTGGGAAAAAAAAAGTGCAGCTTATATTTGGGTGAATGGAGTAAATGGATAAGTGTGTGTCTACCTTTTTCTGAACAATAGGGGAGCCCTGGAGCTCCTGGATCCCCAGGGTCAAGTGGACCTCCTGGATCACTGGGTGACCAGGGCCCTCCTGTAAGTAAAAGGCCGTTTTCTTCTTGATCAAACTACTGTATGTACAGTGCAGTATTAACTCGCAGAGTTCTGAACATGTTCAGTGTCTCTACTCTACTGCATACTAGCAGGTAGGCGGGTTTTACAAAACCCACCATTGCAAATGCATTCACTACAGATTACACTAAGTTAAAGTCCTCCACTCCAACACATGGTGCCTTAATACCATCAAGGTGTATGGACTGCTTTCCTGGGTTGTCAGTTCAAAAATTCTAAATGTGGAGCTGATATGTTACAGAATATGAAAAGGGTTCACCTTGAAGGTGAGTAGCAATCAAAACTTGAAAAGGAATCACTGATGGACACATTGAAGAACAAATCTAAGTGAAAACATTTTCAGACCATCTTTAAAAGAACATTCACAGAAGCAGTTTTATTGCTACTAGACAACCACTTTTGACATCTTTCTTTCTGGTGTAGTGAGCATTCCTGAAATGTAATACATCTGATAATTATTTTAATTCATCTGAGAATTAAGTTAATCTTTTGATATACAGTTTTTTTTTGTTTGTGCTCTGTGACATTTTCAAAATAACGATGAAGAGAAGGGGAGAGTGTTAATGGCCTCAATGTCTAGAAAGTTAATTACAGTATTTAAAAACATGTCACTAGATTGAAACCAAGATAAAAGAGTTCGTTCTGCAGGAGGTTATGCTTCTAAAAAGAAAATGGGGTACACTTAATGAGAATGTGTATTGTCATCACATTTTTCTGTGAGTCGGCATGCTACTATTGTAAATTCCTGGAATTGCAGACCACAGAATTCAAATTAATCTCCGTGCAACAGTTGTCAGATAAAATTAACAATCTCAAGAGGCTGCTGGATTAATGGAATGAACAACAGTGCACAAATTTGAAAATACGTTTTTTTATTCAGAATTCAGGTACCGGTGCAATGACTGCTGCATCTTGAGATAATACACTATAAAACCTGCTGTCAGAAGAGGACTGATACTAGAGCACATAAAACTCCCCTTAGATAGCACATTTACACTACCAGCACATAATTCATGTTCCCTGCCCTGAGAGCTAGAGATATTTTAAACATATCTCATTAAACATTCCTAAACATAATGTTTCTCCCCTTCTCTGTGATGATGAAGTATATAGATTGTACATCTACTGTACTGTATGTCATTCACATTATTGCTAAAAAATCCCATGTTTTGAAATTGAAACAAGAATTGAATTGCACTAAAATGAATGAATGGGAACATTAATATGTGGGCCTTTTAAGGTGTTCATGTGATAATATCTGTCACATGATGTTATTGGATCCTTAGTTAGTAAAATATTTCTTGTAGTTTGGCATAGTTGGCACACTGCATTCTTGTTCAGAATCATCAAATAATCTGACCACCCAAATGCTGCATTCTCAAATTATATGAATATGTGCCATTCAACGTACAACTGTAAGCTGGGCTGTATCTACTGTAAGCCAGTGGGTTTCAGCCTGTGATAAGCTTTTCAGATTTCAATGGTAGGCTTCTTGCCATTTGTCACTACAGAGAATTTATACAGTAAGTCTTCCTGAATGATTATTATATTGTAGAAAAGGACTTTACAGAAGCATTGTTAGCAGGATCCAGCCCTTCAGCAATAGATATCTACAGTTTGCAATTGTTTGTGTGGTAAATCATGGTCAGGATTGATGGGAGTCAAAAACCTGGACATCATTTCCACTGATTATTATGAGCAAAGAATCCATTTCCCAGTATCTTGCTTATCTGATATACAGCCATTTACAATGAAAACATTTTACAGAAGTTTTTATTGAACTTTATCACCCTTTTCTTCTCTAAAATAAATGCTTTAAACTTTCCAGAGAATGTTTCTCAATACAACTGTCAAGACACATCTTTTGCTGCATTGTAACTGGGTGCAGACACTAGATAAACTCAGCCTGGGCGGATCTCAACATTTCTCACCACTCGTATCTCTTTGGTGTTTGACATGTAACCCCTTAAAACCCACTATTCTGCAGTAAGCTGGTTTCAACTCATCTGATTTTCCGAAATCTCTTCTCTACGTTTTGACACGAAATGGGGGCACACACTGTCGGTGTTTTAAAATCCAGCTGCATTTTCAAATATCAGCTCAAATTCATTAAGTTGTTACTTTTTCATCACCTCGGCAGATCAGCTTTTGACTTTTATCCTTTCATTCAGCTCTTGCAACTATCACATCCTTGCTTGTTATGGCTGCTGAAATACTCTTGTATGTGTAGTATACAATGGCAGTGCACTGACAAGTGCTAAAATTCTCTTTTCATATCACCACTGGTATGAACAGGTGCTAGTCAGATGTATGGCATTTGAAAGGAATGTGCTAAAAAAACCCAACAAAATTAATAAATATCTCAATTGAATTCTTTCTGTTTAAAATGATTTTATGGCCGATATCTAAAATTATTTTTTTTTTTCTCAGGGTCCTTCTGGTGTGAAAGGAGAAAAGGGTGAAAGGGTAAGCACTTAATTTACTTTTTTAATATTTGAGATAAGCAGCCAGTTTCTCTGACACGGCAATGGTTAAAATTGCTTCAGACTTTTTATATGAAATGCTGTTTATCAGCACTGGGAAAAGAAGGATCAGTTTACTGCCAGCCATTTTAACTGAAATTGCAGTGGTCTCATAGTAATGTTTAGAAAGTTTATTGTTCAGCTGTGTATTATATAACTGTTAATTAAACCTCATCTGATTCATTTGTGTCTGCTCAATTAAATAACCACTGTTTTGAAAAGAAAGTATTGTTATGTATCATCATTCTTAGTAAACACTGAATACATTTTAAAAGTTCTCACAGTAGAAAAGCTTTCCTTGAGAAAACAGCAAATTACTGACCATTGCATAAAGTTAATGAACAAAGTTTGCTTAGCTTTTAAAAATAGCAGAGTGTAGTAATAACAAACATAAAAAGCAAAGACAATAAATTACACAAGCCTATAATTCCTACTTAGACAGGGAACCTCATGTGTAATGATTTTCATGGAACCGTCTGATTCAAACTGTCTTTTAAATTTATTTCTGTACAGGGTGACATGCAGTCCCAAGCTGCTGTTCGTTCAATAGCCCGCCAAGTCTGTGAGCAGCTTATTCAGAGTGAGTTCTTTATCTGCTTCTGTCTTCTCTTCTTGCTGGTGTGTTCTGGTATCATTCCACATCTTAGACAAGCTAAATGTTAAACTGATTTATATCAATCAAATGTTTTTTTAGAAACATTTAAATTGTCCCCATATGTGTGTATCATTAATGATGTGATTGCATGCTCTATAGCGTTCATGTTCACACTAAATACTGTTTCTATTGCTCTGTATGCGTATATCTTCTGACTTTGACCAGATGGTATAAGAAACATCAGTGCTATCTAGTATGATGGGCACACAACGAGCGTGTTTGATGAATTAGTGCTCTCTTAACTGGCGCTTCTCACAACTATGAGACTGATGTCTCTTGTATCTTCAGGTCACATGGCACGCTACAATTCGATCCTGAACCACATCCCCAGTCAAGCCGTGTCCGTGCGCACAGTCCCGGGGCCCCCGGGTGAGGCGGGCCGGCAGGGGCCTCCAGGGCCACAAGGAGAACAGGGTCCCACAGGCAGGCCGGGATTCCCTGGTAGTAACGGGCAACCGGGCAGACCAGGGGAGAGAGGTATGACGAAGGCTGTGGGGAAGGACTCCCTCTTCCACAGCTCGTACAGCCAGGCAGAGGAGTCGTGGAGAAAGGAAGGGCAGGTTCTAAGCACAAATACCTAAAAAGTGCAATGGTTGTAGCGGTTTGTGAATCTCAGAATTAGAGTCTCTTTCATTGGCTTTTTTACTGTTTAATCATCAAGTCTCTTCAGATCAGCATGCGTGGTTTCTGTAACATTTTACGCAAATAAGCTGACAGGCAGAAACCGAAGTGCAAGACTTTGTGCGCCTCCGGAAGATTCCGGAGAGCCGAGGAGGCAGCAAGACGGAGGCAGCTAGTGACGAGAGAGGAGCAGGCAGGCTGACAATCTGGGAGAGAGAAAGGCAGCCAAAGGACTGTGTGAGGACTGTCTGGAGTGAGGGTAGTGAGGAAGTGGGTCCAGTTGGTGGAGGGCTGTCAGAAAAGAAATTAATAAAGCAAACCTCCTAGTCGACGCTGTGTCAAACTAATGCTCACAGTACAGGGAAGAACATAGAGCTAGTCTCCTCATGGCCCAAGAAGCGCAATGTCGGTGCGTTGGTAAAGCAGAGAATTGAGCGTTAAACAGGCACATCAATCAGGCTCCTGGTTACTAGATTGCCTGCCCGATTAGAAGATTGAGGGTGAAAAGGAAAGGCGTCCTGAGTGCATTTTCACAGGGTGGACAAGCAAGTGCTCATGGGAAGGCCCTGGGTTCCCATGACAACATCAGACAGCAAGGCACTCCCAGCCCAGGTGTAACAGTATTACTGTGAAAGTTAAATGATTTTAAACCTAAAAAGGTATGGAGATGATATACATATAATGCTACACTGGGAAGATTTCATAACTGTCTCCCTGCTCCTGTATCAGTCAATTTCTTTCATAGTCCCGTGTCCTAGTTTTATTATGCATATTTTCAAAGACGAAGAGAAAGCCCTTTTTTCTCTGCAATATGATTAATCTGTGCAGTGTGCTTAGTCTCCATCTTAGACAGTTGCAGGAAACAGCTGTTCTTAAGCAAAACCTGGTTCGTACAGATAGTGTAGAAAATGAGTGGAGAGACATCGCTGTTTCATTTGGGGGGAAATGCAAATATAATACTAGTGCACCATAGAAAGCACCCATGAGAATAGAAGACATGAGGACTTTTTCATATACATGAAGTGTAGATTAAAAATAAACATAAAATTTTGGATTAAACAAATGTTTGTTTCAGAACTACAGGAATGACGTGTTCAAGAGAGTATGTCTCCGTAGCTTTCCAGAACTGGGATTATAATTGCTTATACTTTACAATTTGATGTTTATTATCAACTAGACCTCAAAATCAGCAGTATTTCTCTGTCTGCATGACTCACGCTGATGCACGCTCAATATGTGAAATCTCTGTGTAAATACCCAGATGCTATGTATTATTCACAGAGTTTGTCTTCTTGCATTACTTCAGAAGCAAAAGACATGATTCAGTTGAAGAGAAAATGTGCAAGAACAGTTCTCACACCACTTAGTCCCTGTCATCATAAGGATTATAGTAATTTGGAGGAAATTCTAATGGGTAGATACTCATTTTTCAAGGCTTCAGTGACTTCTGTGACATATGATTTGTAATTTCCTGATTAACAAGATAAATGACAGAACAGTGGCAAGCTTCTCACTAAGGGACTGTAATTTCTTCCTGTGTGCTTACTCTGTAACAGGCACTGTAACACTGTATGGCAGTAGACAATGTGCTAAGAAAAGTGCAAACATGATAATATTGGGGTTTTGGCCCCCTTTTATATATGAAAACATGTACCAATCTAAGCCATTGTTAAATTATGTTTAATGTTGACACTTGTATTAAGACAATTGAAAAGCTTTGACATAAATTAAACTGCACTCTATAGTTGATTGCTTATATTTTTAGTAGTATACATAAACTGTTTTCAGAATCTTTGGGTGACACTTTGCAAAGTGTTTTATTCATTTTTTGGAAATAATCAACTTCTCAGTGTCTCATAAACATTAGCATAGAGGATTTGTGTCTATTTGTCTATATAAATGCATTGACAGTTTGGCCTGGGCAATTATGGGTTTAAGGTACAGATTAGCTACCTGTTGATTAACCTGTAAGGCACTGAGCCTTTAAACAGGGGAAAAACAACAGACATGCTAATTGTATTGTGAGAAAAGCAGATGTCGGAATGTCATATCCTGAGGCCTATTGCTGTGCACTAACAGCTTCACCCTTGGGCAGGTTTCCCTGGTGAAAAGGGAGAGAAGGGAAATCAAGGAGTTGGTATTCAGGGTCCAAGAGGCCCACAAGGACCTCCAGGTAAGAACTTTGAATATAACATACTGTATGAACAAATGTTGATGCTTTTATTCTTAGCAGTCATTGAGAATCTTTCATAGAACATTGCACTGCACTTTATTGCTTCTAGAAGGTTCCATGGCCACAATGTGTCAGCCTTGGAACTAAAATACAATGGACAGAAAGATTTACATAATTTTAGCTCACATTACCATGAGAAAATGTTTTGGAAGAGTTCTTCACCGATTTATGTAAAAATTCTTTTATTACACTGAAAATAGAATATGAACATGAAGTTCAATCCTGAAGAACAGTGTCTTATGTAGACCAAATAAATTTGAGTAAATATCTGTACTTATGTCTTTTGTTCTCTGTACACATATCCCATGTGGCTTTTGCAAGTTGACAGATTTTGGAAGACAGTTGTTTTAAATTGCTTTTTAAGTGCATAAGAAGTGAATGTTTATCAAAAAAAAATATCTTAAGTTCCCATGACAAAACCTGCTATTTAATTATGATAATTTTTCTATGGGTATCTTTATGGATATATACAGTATGAGACATGAATGCTAATACGATTATACATAGATTCTACTGTACATATCACATAGATTCATATTAGCTTATCTAATAAAGTGGGTCTCTTACTCCATGCTATTTGTTTTCTATTTCATTAAGATGTAGAGATACCTTTACTGTGAATTGTTTAGCTTAGAACAATACCTCACAATATAGGAAACATTCAGCAGAGTGTTAATAATTATCTTACTATTGTTGGTCCATGAAACAGCTGATAAGAAAAATATTAAAATAATTTATGCCTGTATATCCTCTCTATTTTCTTCTGTAACTAAAATATCTAATAATAAACAAAAAGCATTTATGTTTTCTGACTTATGAATTGAGTAGTGGGATTTCCTTTTACTGAGTTCATTCTGAACAGGAAAAACCTGGAAAGAATCAATAGGATTAGGAATGAAAAGGAACATCTTTGACCTATTTGTGATTTTATATTGTTCCTGTTCAGAATATCTAAGAAGAAGGTTCAAGAAATACTATTAGTAAAAATAAGGTATCCATTATTGACATCTGTGATAACACATTAATATGGATCTCACCCAGTACTTGGACAATATTGTTAAATACCATCAAACCAACAGCTGATAATTGCTTTTGAAAATCCCTTAAACTATCACAATTATCTGTCGCCAGACTTATTAAAAAGGAATGTGAATTTTGGCGAGAATAAATAAATACATATGTGGAAACTGAAGATAAATACATATGTGGAAACTAAAGATTATCTCGATTGTCATTGTATTTTGCATTTTCATCAGTTAATATGTATATATTTCCAATGTTTAACAATATTTTAAAAGAAAAACATCTTCATAAATTTTGAAAGTGTTTCAAGTTCAATCGCTTAACAGGGACGTCGAGCGCCCAAGCAAGATGTGTAGGATAACGTAATTATTATTCCGTTACCTGACAGCACTCCCACTCATTGGTAAAAGAAGATTGTAGGGTGTACTAAACTCATTAAATGTCAAAGCATTAACGACATAAAGAATAAGAGATGAAAAGTCTACCCCAACTTGTAGATGTACTTCAAAGACACTACGATATTTCCACCACTGAACTGGCTCGTCACAAAGCAGAAACGTAGACTGCGGGCCCGATGAGCCTGGGATGTTCTCCGCGTCTGGCCTTGGTCCAGTTTATGTGTTGGTGTCCCACAGGGCCTCCCGGAGAAGGGCGCACAGGGAGTCAGGGTCAGTCAGGAAGACCTGGAAACCCCGGCTCTCCAGGACGGCCTGGCAGCCCCGGCCCCACCGGCCCCGCTGGCTCCCCCGGATACTGCGATGCATCAACCTGCATGGGTTATAATGTCGGAGGTAATTATCACCGCTCCCTCTGAGCCCTTCAGTCAGTCAACCTGCATCTCCGCACTCTGCCCACGTTACAAGCACTTGTTCAGTAACTTTACTAATGTCAGAAATAGTGCCTTTGTTGATGCATTAAATAATATAGTGACGTGTGTACGTCTTTAACACCGTTTGTTGTATTTTAAGGTGCAAAGCAGGGGTATCGGTAGGCACATAATGCCCGTGAACCTATAAATACGTCTTCTATTTTTAGTTTGTCAATCTTGAAGACAACTTTCCTTACGAAAATTAATTTTATTTTTCGTTTAAACACTGATGTTCTCTCAATTAATGTTGTACGGCTGTTTTCGCCTTCTTAAACGTAGAAAACCATGGGTGATTTCTAAAGATACAAACTTTAGAAAAATCTGGCCCATCTTTTTGTTTTCCATCTTGTAAAATGCTTTTTCCCAGGCCCAGTTCATTGTAAAATTAATAGTTTTAACTGGTGACATGTGATTGTACAAAAACACTTACTTTTTATGATAAAATTTAAATTCTCTTAAGAATTTTATGCTTATTTCCCACAAACCCAAATGGCTTACTATTTTTCTCTCTAAACAGAAAAAAACTGTTTCAAAATGAAAGCAGTAAGAGTTTTTCCTGCAAAGCTTGCCATCAAATGTAACTACCTCAGACTACAGGATGGTAAAGCTATTATTGCTTTGTAGAGTGAGTCTCATTAAATCATAAAGTGGCAATATTTTAGCTTTCATCTCTGTAGCTCCATCATGCTCTTTGCATTATTAAGCACCTTAAAATACCAATATTAAAGAGATACAGAACTCTTTTGCTTAACATTATTTGTAAACGTGTTTGTGTGGTTTCCATCCATTTAGTTCTGTCTATAACCACATATTTGGATAAATATTAAAAAGTCTAATTGACACTGAGAGGATAAATGGTTTTGAAGGCCAAGCTTAAAGGTACTACACAAATTGAAACAAATGCCACAGTAATATGGCTGTCATTGTACGGGAGGTCTTTGCATTCTCTCATGTGCCATTATACCTGAGGAGCAGTTAGAAGACTTTATACAGTGAAATCTAATAAGGATAGCCAAGAAAAGAGAAATACGTGTGGATACAATATGTTGGAAATACTATTTAAATTAGTTTCCTGTTTAAAATGAGAAACTGGTCAGATATTGGAATATGAGTGAATTTGTATGCAGTTCATATCACTCAGGGTAAGCTGCTTAGCTTGTTTTAATCTGCAGCTCTCTCTTAAGAGTGCTAGAATATATATTTTGCTTCATTTTACTTGAATACTTTGAACACGTTTGACATAACTTTTGTATCAGCAGCTGTACTGAGGTACAACTATAATTTGCTTATCTGGGGAAGAAAAGTGTTCTGTATCCCTATAATATGATCAAATATTTTTTTGTGATACTATGAATGTGGGTTGATGCATTGTTCCTGTTGTGTGATGCATGTTTGTAAGCATGCAGTAGTGTTCATGTACCAAGAAACTATGTGAATGTTGCTCTAACATGTTCCTTGTGTATGGAACTGTGTTACTAGTATCTGTCTTTATTGTCCTTTTCCAGTTGTGAAAGGGCAATAAACCCCAGCATAGAATGATGGGAATGTCTGTGCTCTGTCATGATGTGCTGTGTTGTCTGTGATTAGCAGTAATAGGTACTGCATCCTGGTAATGTAGACACGATAATTTTGCTGGAAGCATGCTGGTATTTTTTCTTGTCTGCCTACTGACTTGAGGTATGTGTCTCTTTTTGTTTTTCTGTTGTGCGATCTCCCTTGGCCCCTCACTCCCTTATGGCTTTTAACTGAAGTCCAACAACAGTTTGAGAATGGCTACTGAGCAGCATTTTCAGGTGCCTGCAGCACTCTGCTAAACACAAAACCGACTAGATGAAGAGACGGGGAAGGCATGTTAATGTCTCTATTCATCACCCCATCCTCAGTCTTCAGTAACCAACACTGCTGAACGTTTGCTCCCCTGACCATCAAGAGTGCCCTATTTATATCCATCTAAAAATCTGTAGTTAAAAGCTTTGAAATCCCCTTTATTTTCGTTTCTGAAATGAAGCACAGCAGGAAAAGCAGTTTACACACCTTTTGACCCAAATCGATATTTTTTTCTAGACTTTGTCGATTTTCGGTGATGGGGCTGTTTTGTCGTTCACTTCCAGTTTTGAGTTAAAAATGCCGATTATCATGATTTGTGGCTCAGCCAGCATCAACAAAATGCTAAATCCCCTAACGGTAAAATCCACTCCTCTGTTGTGTAAGCTGCTCTAACGTTGTCAATAATTTCTTGCCTTTATTTTTCTGCCCCTTTTTGTTTGTTGCGCTCAAATATGAATACACTTGGCGGTGGTGAAATAAGGTGGATATGGTGACCCAACTGATCAGGACATTCCTGTAGTTCAGTTACCTCCCAACTCCTACCAAACCTATGAGCCCACCGACATGTACGATGACGAGGACCCATATGCGTCGTTTAGAGGTTACGCTCAGTACCCCCAGTCTGCCTACCCCGCCCCCAACCCAGTCCCACCTGAATCCTACCCCTCGGAAGATGCCATTGAAGTGAGATCACCGGGAATCCAGCGTTTCTCCAGAAGCCTCTCCAGAAAGAAGGACAAAACCCCCAACCAGAAGAGGACACTGAAAAGAGACTCTTAGCTCTAACGGGAGAATCAAACTTAAGTGCTCAAGCATGCTAATGGCACAACCATTTCAGCTGGAGTCAAAACATGGAAATTTTAAAAGTTTACACACCATTTACAGTGAGTAATTTTGATTGTGCTGTTAGAGGAAAACCTGGAAGTGCCTGATATTTTTTTTGGGGGGGGGGGTTGGAAAAGAAAAAAGAAAATGGTTGTACTAGTGTTTTTTTAAAGTTGCATGTGGCCTTGAAGATCAAGAAGATAACCAATCTGATTGTGAGGATATGTTATGTTTATTTTGTGCAGTAAGCATCTTTGTAAATTACATCATGAACTGCTTTTGTACAGTTTTTGTTGTTGTATATCGCTATCGCTAGTATAACATAATCTGCATTCTGTTGCTATTCAAAATCAACCTGTTTTGTAACCTATTTTCCCCAAAACAGGCACTTCAAGGTTAATTCTCAGAGGGTGTCACAGCTTACTGAGAAGCTCTAAAAGAGAACTTCAAAGGAAGTCAACATCTATTTTCAATAGCCATAATATAGAATATCAGACTGATAGTGTGATACAGGGTTGTTAGGAGCCTAGCACTACAGAAAGCATTTGTAAGGCAGAATACACCCTGGACAGGAGAGAAGTGCATCATCCCACACACACATAAATACATATAAATCAATTATCACAGATTGCATTTTGTTTGGATATTTGTGGAAACCGAAACCTGCAAACTTCATGGAGAAGGCACCCTAGGCCCTAGTCAAATCTAGGGACTCAAGAACAAAGAGGCAGGGGTGCCTTCGATCACACCACTGTTCACAAGATCAGCATTTCTGCTTATAATGTATTAAATCTAGAATGATGGTCTTACCAAGTCAGGATATTTGCTAGAACAGAAATACAGTAGATTGAAATTAACCTGGAAGAGCCTGTTCTTGCAAAAGCAGGTCACGTTTTGTAATAGCCAAAATGTTTTTGCAATTACTTTCTCTATAGGTCCGAAATAATTTTGAAAGAATTTCCACTAGTTTATTTATTAAGGGTTTTTTTCATTCTCATTTTCATAGTGCCTTTAATTTGTTTAAACTGAAGTATACTGTCTCTCTCACTTGTGTCATTGCATACTAAAGAACACAGACGACAGTTGGAACAATAATCAGTCTTTATCATTTAGAAACATAGATTAATAAAGTGGTAACAAAACTGGTATTTTTCAAAGTATGTTGTCAGGAATCATCTTTTTTATTGTTTTTTTTTAATGTCCACATGAAAACTGAAATTATCTACATCTATACCTAGTGAATATATAATAACCTTTACAGATCTGACAAAAACAGAAGAGGGTGTAACAAACCTTAAAAGTATTAATATCAAAAGAGGATTAAACTCAATGTACAGATGAATTAATGACAAATATATATTTCCTCTTGTACTAGGTTTAGTGAGTTTAACAATGATGATAATGACAAAGCACTAACAAATGTATAGAAATTTGCCTTTTCACTAGTGATTTAAGTGTTTTAAGTACCTAGGCTTGCAGCCTGACTCCCATTCAGGAAGTTCCAGTCTGAAATTGGAGCAGGTGTGTGAGAACCAATAACACCAAACCTTTGAATCCAGAAATTCATTTTTTTTGCAACCAATAAAATTGAAGTACAACCAAAAACATTAGTTCCGGAGTTTATTTTAATAATGCAATGACTATATAAAACAATGAGTAAAATAATACCAGTTTTTAATTTAAATTCTAAACTGTGATATATGAAAGCAGCATAGATTGCAGTCATTGATGTAAAAAAGGCAGCAGACGTATGAACTGGTATTATCTTGGCATTTTATATACAGAAAAATAGCTGAGTAATGCAAATTAATTTCCATTTTAAAACCAATTATATTGTAACTACTTCAAAGGACTACACTTGAATACAGAATTTTTCACGGAAGCATCTGCTGTCTATTAGAACTGCTCTGTGGGTAAAATTAAAGCACCGTCAAACTTCTGAAGTGCATGCAAAAACAGTCTGTGGTAAAAGTTGCAGTGGCCAAAAATCTGTATTTTAATACATTCCAAGTTTCAACAAAATTGAACTTACAACCACAGAAACAACCACGGAACTGTCTTTTCTGTCCTGCTGAACATTTATTCAATTCACTTTTACCCTTGAAACTGTTAGAAATTATGCTTATTCTTCAAAATTAAAAGCTGTATATAAATTTACTGCAAGTTTCACTTCATTTTAATCAAAAATGTTTTAGGTTTTATTTAAAAAAATTAAAGCCACATACTAAAGTTGAAAAAAACTTTTATTTTACATTAATAGAACAACTGGAACATCTGCAAAAATCAAGTTAAATGCTTCTAGCAAATGTTATTAAACATGAAAATAATCATGGATCTGTAAGTAATCTTCTTTCAGATGGTGTTGTTAATGGTGAGGATTACTTCATTCTGAAGTCTTCAGGCCTGTGAAGTTGAATAGAATGTGTTAGATTACCATACAAATACATGTATACTGTACATAAACAGGATTGCTTGATTAGTGAACAAATATTTTTACCCCAGTTATACAACAGTCCTTCAGATTATATTACTACCAGACTATAATGTACTATAATAATGTTCTGTGGAGAAACTAATGTTATTTCCGTGCTGTATATTTAGGCACTGTTGGCTTGCATTACATACAACATCTTGACATCATAACTTTTAAGTTCATGGAAGGCAAGATCGTTTTGCAGGCTCATCTCTGATCTGATATTTGACCTAATGTTCCTTATTGATGGGGTATTATAACCAATTACAAAGCACTAATCTTTTAAGATAAGATAAGATCACTTTATTGGCCATTTTCAATGTTTTGCATTAGGAATTTTCGCATACCCCAACTTGTTCTCCATCAGACACAGACAGGGAGAGAAGCTTGGGGTCAGAGCGCAGGGTCAGCCATTTATACGGCACCCTGGAGCAATTGGGGTTAAGGGCCTTGCTCAGGGATTCCACCACCGGCAGCGGGATGCGAACCGGCAACCTTCCAGCCACAGGCGCAGATCCTTAGCCACAGAGCCACCATTAAATGTCATTGATCTCCAATGGGCATTGATTCCAACTACTAGGTTTATCCCATGTTGAAAAGAGAGTGTGAAGAAGGCTCCACAGCTGAAATGTGTTTTCTTTCTTCTCTTTTCAGCATGGAATAAACCTATATTTCTATTACTTGTTAAACCTATTACTTGTTCCTTTGCAGCCTACACATGCTGACGCAGCTACCCACATGAATTCATAGATTCCAACTAAACAAGCAACACAAACAGTAAATGGTAATGGGGAAAAACACATAAAGCACATATACTGTAAAGTAGACGAACTGCTTTTCTTTTTGTTACTTTTTTACTCTAAAAATGATCACTCTAGAAATAATCAGGGATTGTACTGTAGAATTCAAAACTGTACAAGAATACTTATTGTATTCATCTATGTCTGTCCTTTACTTGAATTACCAACTACAAAATTAAAATTGAATGAGGATATAGCTCCCACTTTGTTTCAGTCTGAAAGCCTTATTGTTAACCACAAGGCTTAAGTATAGACTGGTAAGTGTGTAGTCTTTTTTTTGTTGTTGCTAAAAAGTTTTTCCCCTCTTTTAAATATTCCACAACATTGGTTATTGAACTTTGATTTTGCTAGTGGGGAAAAAAAACTAAATTCAAGTCACAGAATGAACTGGTGTTTGAAAAGATAAAAGACACTGGTACAGCTAGCCATACTGTGGATTAAAGAGATGAGCCCTTCCTGAGCAGTAACACAAACAGTGAGGCCCTGTGCACTTCCAAAGCAGGTGTGCTTTGTTAATTTCAATACTTGTTTAAAAAAAGAGATTAACAAAGTAAACTGACTGGGGCCTCTGAGCAGGACTCCCTGCGTAGTGTAACCGGTGTCAGAAGTCTTATCTTTTAAGACTTAACAATGCTGTCACCCTACAAGCACCAGAGTTACCTTACATAATACCATGCTGGTTGTTAAGTATTTGGGGTGTGATTGGGATTATTTCCTACTTCCTAACAATACTGCCAAGATGTGCAACTTGAAAAATAAAAATTCTACCTAAAGATGTGACTGACAACAATGATAAAGGAGTTACCCTGTGCCAGAATGGGCAAGCCTACCTTTAAATGCTTGGGAATTAAGCAATCCTCAACATTTACAGACTCGAAACAGTCAAAAAACTCAGGAAACCCGCTGAGAATTCTATACCTTAATATAAGCATTTCCACTGATCTCTGAAAGTGCCTATTAGTATGTTTGCATTTATCACAACCAGTCTTTGTACATGCTTTACAAATTACTGTCTGCAGATATCGGTATTTACTGAAAACATTTTATTTAAAAAAAAAACACCATGCATAATCACATACGTATTATACGTACTTAGTCAAAGCTTAAATTAATGGGTTTACTGCAAATTTTCAAACAGTGCTTTTAAATTAAGTATGAATTTGAAGGTGACTGTGTTACTATCTCAAACTATGGTAATACAATGTAAATCCACTCAAGGTCAAACAACACATGTGGTTCAATTTTTGCATGGGACAAGAAATACAAAGAAGAAAAGGAAGTCTACTGCTTGTGTTTTTGGCATAAAAAAATCCTCCTTTAGAAAGCATTATCCAGACCCCTGAAACGTCTTCTGTTTTAAAGGGTTTGTATAACGCTAGCAGTCTCAGCATGTCCGACTCCAGCGAAAGAGCATTCTGAATTATGGCTCGAGACAGCCACATCGTCTGCTTCTCACCCAAAACCGACACAATGATTAGAATAATGAGAGAGACGAAAAGCAGATTTATGGGCGACTCCTTACTCATGGCATTTTGAACAACAAAGCTCTACTCCCGTTTTCCTGAATGATTTAGAACGACACTGGAATTTGCGTTTTGTCCAACTGCTCACTAACGAGCCCGCAGGACAGGATCTTCTAATGTGGATTGATGGGACCTATATCAGGCTTAGCAGCCTTCGTGTTGTAAACTTAATGAAACACGAGAAGCACCAGCCAAGGATTGCAGTTTTTTCCATATCTTCTATTAAATAACTAAATTTGAATGGAAGAAGAAATTATAAATCTGTTTCTTAACATGTTTAAAGTAAAAATAGAGCATAGCACATCCTCCCAGCATTTCTTAACCCACACTAGAGCTGGATTTGCATACACTGCAGTTGCACTAGGTGCTGTGCAGTCCCCTGAGCCACAGCTGTGAGTACTTTCCCCCTAACTTCAGTTCAGCTGTCCTACAGCTTCACCTTGGCCTGAGGCTCCAGCTCAGCTCTATCAGGAAAAAGACAGTGACAGGAGGGTATCCATGACAGGGGTAGGATATACCTAAAAATATATATCGTGTTATTTTAGGAACATAAAAAAGTAAGTAAAAGTAAGGAAATACTTCAAGCCCAGGGATGGATCTAGCCTGACTTCTCTGGACTTATTCAGAAAACATTGTACAATTTGAACATAACATCACATGGTTTCAATTCTATGCTTTAACTAAATATCCCAACATTGTTGCCTTACTTATATTGTCTAGACGATAAGCTCCTATAAGTTGAGAGTTTCTCCTTCAGCCTCTATAAATTTGGGAACAGCAGTGGTCCTAATACAGATCCCTATGGTACTCCACCAATTAGATCACCCAAACTGGAGAATTCAACCCTTTTCTGTGCTGTTTTCTGTACATTAATAAGCTTGCAATTAAAATATAAGCATTACTTTGAATATCTACTGCCTGCTACTTGATAATTAATCATTTAACATTTTCTGAAGCTCTTACTATCCCCTAGGATAATGCTTCCATACATGACTCTTATAATAATTCAATTCATGTCTTATACTGTAATTGTCAATATTGTAATTACTTGGCACAGTTTTGTCACCCGTTTCAAAGGTAGGCAATATGTTAGCTATGTTCCAGTCAATTGGTACTTTTAATTAAGAAACTATTGGAAACATCTTTTCAATAGGCAATGGAACAGCATCTTGTTTTCTTACATTTAATTAGTAGATTATCATCTGACTCCAGAGGTTTATCTTAAGTGCTTCTGCCTCTTTTATACTAAAACTTGATGCTTTCTCAGCCTGAGGCACCTTGTCAGTTTCTACCCTGGTAAAGACCGCAGTGAAACAGTAACTTAATAAACCAAATACAACAGTCACTTCCCTTCCGACACCTTGACGCTTCCCGTCCCATCACTATCACATTTTATATTGACACAAATAAAAAATAAATGGAAGTACATTTAAAACTGAGAAATAGTGAAGAATCGATTCTTTATGCAAAGGGTGGTGGGAACATGGAATGTGTTATATGTTACTTAAGCCAGTCCTGGCTTCTTTTAGATACGAGATCCATGGATTAATAAGCAAGTAACTACCAAATGGGCTACAGTGCCGAGATAAGGTTTGTGAACCCTAAAGATAAATATGGATATTTCATAGATTTACCACAACAGTTTTCTTGAAACAGAACTAGTCTTTATGTAAATATCAAGCAGGGTTTTTAGTAACCAATTTCATGTCTCTTGTCCATGTAAGAATTAAACAATGAATAATTAATGTACAGATGTGTAAAATTAAGCGAACTCCTAGTTTCATTAGCTCAATGAATGGAATAATTAATTCCATCGAATTGTTGTGGCAGGACCGGTAATGAGCTGTCCACACATGGCAGCTCTCAAATGTCAAAGGAGTTCTATAAGGAAGAAAGGTCCAAAATTCCTCAATACCAATGTGAGAGACAGTTATAGGAAATATTTAGTTGCAGTCATTGCTGCTCAAAGGAGAGCCACATGTTAATGAGTTTAAAGGTTCACATACTTTGTCACGTGGATATTGAACGCAGCATATTTTGTTGAAAGAGTATCATGTCTTGTGTCATTTGCTTCATCAAGTTAATGTTATCTATTATCTGGACTTAGATTAAGATGTAATAACATTTTGGGATTCAAATATGTGAAATATAATTAAATCCTGAGGGATTTACAAATTTTTTATCAGCACTGTATATGGGCCAAATGTCATCCCCTCATTTTCTCAGATTCTTGTTTTTATGCTACATAAGTCTGAGGTTATAATATTCACCGAAGGATTAAATTACTTTCTGTAAATCTGTTTCTTCCTACAAGAAAAACTCAAAAAGCACCAAAAGGAATAAACTACACCCCACAGACAAGCAGTACCGTCAATAAAATGGTATTCTCAAACAATACATCTTTTTTTTTCTACAAGCCAAAAGAAACACATTATATCAAGCTTCTGATGACAATGTTTTTAAGTCTAAAATTCAGAGCCAGTACAGTAAGAAAAAGGTAGTAACTTCAATTGTTTCACTGTGTAGGGTTATTGAATCTGAGATGTCAGAACATTTTGGATATCTTCTCCATTTCTTTTGAAAGCAGTATTGTTTTCTTTGTTTAAA